GAGTCTTATGGATTTTCAAAACATTTTGATGGAATAAAATGCTTCAATCTGTTCCTTTGAGACAGTGGTTCTCAGCTGGGGGTGGCTTTTCCCCAGGGAACACTGGCAGTGTCTGGAGACGTTTTTGGTTGTCACAGCTGCCATCGTTGGTGGGAGGGTTCTCCTGGCATCCAGTAAGTGGAGATGAGGGATGCTGTTCAACATCCTACAATGTACAGGGCAACCCCTACACCAAAGAATGCCCAGCCCAAAGAGTCAGTAGTGTACGAGTTGAAAGATCCTGCTTTCAGGCTTTTGTTTTTGTTCCTTACTTAATAAGTCACCTCTTCTTCCTATACTACTAATATCTGTATCAAAATCTGTATTAAAATTTCCTTAATTGATTCTGCTGCTCAGACAGTTTACTAAAAACCCCCGCCACCCCTGTTATTTCCCTTCTGCACTCCTCTCTCAGTGCCCCGAGGCCACCGTGTCCCTCCCTCCCCGCAGGTGACTTGCATGGCCTGAGCCAAGTGGCGTGTTCCATCAGTGTTTGTAGGCTCTCCTTCTTTGCGTCCGTTTCCTCAGACATTCTTCCCATTGCTTGGATGACTCTGCCCACTGAACGTGGGTATAAATGAGGGAGGGAGGTGACCCCAGGTTTGCTCTGTGCTCTTCTGGACCCTCTGAAAACAGTCATGTCAATAGGAACCTAAACCACAGAGCTGGAGCAGAACTTGACATGTTCCACCCCAGCCCCTGGATGTGCGAGGAATGTGTATCCAGAGCAGGCAAGTAACTCGCCCAAGCCGCTCAGCCACCTGCACACCAGGGCCATCACCAGGATGCTGGGTTCTCACCTGCCTCCATTTTTGCCTAGAAAATTCTTTTCTGCTGCTTCTTTTGTGAGAGCTGCCACTGCTACCTAAGAGATGGTTTCTGAGACCTGCTTGTAAGCTGCTCATTTCTTAGCTGCAATCATCAAGCCCGTTCTCTTTTTCAGTGTTAAGAACTTTAACTCAATCAAACACACGATCGTAATGGTTGACACGCATACATGCAGGGTATTAGTTGACAATTAGACGGCTCAGGGCACATCCAAGTTCATGTGTCTTACCCTTTTGTTGGACTGAGAGTTCTTTGAGGGCTGGGACTGGGCATTCTTTATCCTCCTGACCCCTCTTCTAGGCATCCTACCTGGCACATCATAAGTGCTGGATAAATGGCACTTGAAGTACTGATCAGCCATGTTGAGTTTTCTGTAAAAGTACAGGAGAAGTTGGAACAAAGTCCACCAAGTGTCTAAACTAGCATGGAAGGATCACCAGGAAGGTGGTTATGTTTCTCCCGGGCCCCACCATCACCACGTAAGGCAGACAAAGGTGTTCACGTGCAGCACTTTGCAGCGACCTTGGTAGCTTTGACGTATTGTATCTTAACGACTCTGTAAGTGGGCCTCTTTTATACCTGTTTTAAGTTTGACCTTTTCATCCTTCTGTTTGTATGCTGCAGAGGGCACTGGCATTGCCAAAAACATGGGCAGCACTCAGTTTAGGGAAGGAAAACAGGTCACGGCTAAAGTGTCACATGAGACTGCCTTCAAATCATGAGTCCCGGGGCTGGCAGGCACCTTTGCTCTGACCTCACCCTGTATGCACCCCCATAAGCACTCTTGATTGTAGCATAAATTATTTGACATAGGTGAAAAGTTGAAAATAAAATATGAAAAGAATAGTTTTAGCTTAGCTCTGTGATGTGAAAAAATTTGGTTTAAATAGAAATCTGATGCCATGAACATACAGCATTTAATAAATGAGCTTGTTGGTTACTGTAAGCAGAAAACCATTAACACATAGGCTTTCTCTTTGCTCTTTCTGCTGATATTACAAAGTCTTCATCCCTTTCCCCCCCATCATTAGAAGCTAGAAATTATAGCCAAGAAGGTATCACCTTGAATTTTAAGCATCCCCAAAGTCAGGTCTATTAATTACGATATTTTGCCTCATTATTCATTTTGGCAGTTTGCTTATTTTCTGCTTCTAGTTCAAATGTAATGGGATTCAAGGGCAGTAGTGATCTCTGTAACAGGACTTTTTCCCTGTGTGATAACAAACTTAAAAAAACAACTCAATAAGCTGTGTACAGAAAAACAGGACTTACAATAAATATTTATGATGCCAAGATTTTGCTTAAAGATTAATGATTGTATTTTATCTTGTATTTGCTGTTAGGCAACGGAAAAGATTGGTTTTTTTTTTTAATGAAACTAGTCTGAAGTGTTAGAGGATAGAAAGGAAGGTAATTGTCAATGTTAGTGAAACAACTAGGCAAAAACCCAAGGAGTAGCATGAATATGACATGATTATTTTAAAGAAGAGATCAATGATCTCGCAGTGCATTTAACGCCCTGCTTTGTATTCAGTGCATGTGTGTGTACATGTGTGTATGTGTGTGCACCATCACAGCATTCACTGTTTTGAGTCCCTTTAGAAATCTATACAACTGATAGTTTAATTTTTAGCTTCTGTCCTCTTTACTCTACCCAGAGCGTTTCTCCTGGCGTTTGACGTTAGTCATTCCTTATTGAATCCCATGCTCTTCCTGCTTTCCTCTCATCTGTCAAGCCTAGACAGCAGCACTTAGATGGTATTGTTTATCCTCAGCATATTTTTCTTTCGGCTATTTATTCCCTCACTTGGTGGAGCTGACTCCTGGGCTTGGTGAATTGGGCCTTGCCCTGGGGGCCTGCCCTTCCCACCCAGCTGTCTCCACCGGCACCCACACCGACACTGCCCATGAAGGGACGGACTTCACACAGTGACTCACCTTGATGGTCTCTGAGACTGGCAGTCTCTAGCAGTAGGCTGTGGCAATGGGACAGAAGCCCTGGGGCATCCTTGGCCATCAGATTGGTGGTCTTTGCCTTGTGGTCTTTGCCTTGTGGACTTTGCCTTGTCATTCCCTAAGCTGCACCATGGAGGTCTGCACTTCCAGAATTGACTTTTGTAATGATCTCTCCAATTTTTAAAAATGATTTAAATGTATTTCTTTGTTTTTAGGCATGTGTTAAAAGTCTTAATTTGTGACTAGGTCAACCGTCAGATGAGCTGATATCAGAAACCTGGTTTATATGTCCCTTTTATCCTAGCTAATTAAATTCTTTCTCCTTCTTGAGGTGATACCCATTCCACAAAGGCTTCCTAGGAATAAATCCAAAGCACGGGAACAGTATCCGGACTAAAGGAGGAATTCAGTCTGTCCCTCATCACACATTGCTTTTCAGATGTTGATTGATCTATCTGTCTTTATTTTTCCAGTGCTTTGTTAAAGAAACTCTCCCATGTTTTCTGTGTTCCTCAACATGCTGTGAATAGAGCTGTGAACATGGCAGATAAGTCCATGCACTGACGGGGCTCGCTTGTCTTTGGGAAACAAAAAAGGGATTTATTTTAGATTTCACGGTGAGGGAAGGCTTCTCAGAGGAGATGACATACGAGTAGAGAACTTTGTGAAATGAGGTAGAGAGCCATGCAAAGTCTGAGAGAAAAGCATTCCAGGCAGAGGGCCCAGCAGGTGCAAAGGCCCTGGGGTGGGAATGACCTTGGCATAGTGCAGGGACATAAAGAAGGTGAAGGGGGTTGAATGTAAGGGAAGAGGATAAAGTGTGGGAAGAAAGGACCTCAGGGATAGGAAGGGGCCAGATCAGGGAGGGCTTTGCCGTGGAAGGAGTTTGGATTTTACTTTGAGTTGATAAAGATTGTAAATATTTTAAATTATTTACGCTTGAAATATTTTCTTCAGATACCAGTTTATCTACTCTTATCTGAGATTTTGTGAAGGTTTTGCCAAGTGATAGAATAGAATTAACAGTGTGGTATTTTTGGAGCTTCATTTTATTCAATCCCAAATCCCTTAATCTCCCTAAAGGAGTTTGCTGGAAATTGTGTGACAAGGATCATTAGCAGAATGAGTAGCTGTTTTTCCAGGCAGAATTCTATCCATGTGTGTTTAAGTATGAACTCATTTCAACAAGAGAAATTGAAGGTCCCATTTCTCTGTTGTCTATTATTCACTCAATTCTATTACCAGCCCTGAGAAACCAGGGTCTAATTTTCTGTTATCACAGAAGCAGATGATAACTGAATAAGCTCTGTGAACGGTGCCTGAACCCTTGGGCTGTCTGGAGACATTGTTTCGCTGCTTCATTTCACATTGTTTTTGTAGCATCTCCAGGTAATGACAAATGGCAAGTCAGAGGTCAGCAAAGGACTCAGCGATAAACACTTTCCTTAGAACATGAGCACAATTTACAGATACGCAACTGAAATTTTATCTTCCACATCCAGCAGGGTAACATTTCTCTGTAATCACCTTCCAAAATAATCAGGTAGAAACTTTCACAGAACTCTGCTTAATATAAGTCACCACCATGCTCCCTTCTAGCATGCAGTTGTCACGCAAGCTGATCCATTTTGGAAGCTTTTAATTCACCTTAAAGAGAATTGTTCATCAGGTAGGAAATTGGAAGACATAGGTAAGTGCATCTGTAGGGGGGATAAACTAGGCAGTCATTTCTCATGAGGGAACCTTGCAATGAATGGTCCAGGATGTGAAAGAGAAGATTTCAATTTAGATCCCTAGTAATCAGTTGACTGGCAGCTAAAAGTATCAAAGTTGGTATATTCCTAATGAGCCTCAGTTTTAACTATTTTTGCCTTAGAAAATTCCTCTAAATAAGTGTTCCTGAAATCAACATCATTTAGGGCCTTGGGGTGGGGGAGGCTCTTCCCCACTAACTACATACTTCCTTGTTGGACGCCTGTTATCTATGGAAGGGTTAATGTTGGGATGACCTTGGGAGGCCCCCCTGCCCCAAACAGCACAAGTAGTTAAAAATGCATATTCCACAGGAACTGCGTTTCTGTTACAGCAGCAACTCTGAGCCACGGAGCTCATTTCCCAGAGACGGCGCCACTTTCCCTTATGAGGGAATAATTGACCCATTTATGGTCTCGTTTCAGCTTGTTTCGGATCCTTGCGCCAGCCACCCGTGTCACCATGGCAACTGCAGCAGTAGCAACAGCAGCGACGGCTACCTCTGCATTTGCAATGAAGGCTATGAAGGTCCAGTCTGTGAACAGGCACTTCCCAGCGTCCCCGTCTCTGGCTGGACGGAGTCCATGGCACCCAGACAGCTTCAGCCTGTCCCTACCACCCAGGAGCCTGACATAATCCTGCCCCGCTCTCAGGCCACCATCACCCTGCCAACGTGGCAGCCGAAAACTGGGCAGAAAGTTGTAGAAATGAAATGGGATCAAGTGGAGGTGAGAACATGTTAGTGCATGTGCTTTTATGGAAGAAACCAGTACAGTTAAAATAATTCCAGTGTTTCTGATATCAGCAAAAAAAAATGCAAGACCTTGAAGTTACATATTGAACAAAAGATGTGCCTAACTTTCCTTTCTGCCCTTGTGTGTAGGAAATCTCCTTGGTTGCGTAAATGGGACGTTTCGGTTATGATTGTTTTGTGGGCCTAAAAAGAGTAAGCAAGAGAAGAAAATGAATGAAATCATTTTCTGGAATGATAACCACACACATTTCTGTGAGATAATGTTAGATTTGGGGACAGGCAACTCAGTGAAGAATATTATAAATGAACATATTACAGACCCTCCATCATTGACCTAATTTTCCTTCATGGAATTTTATGCTCCAGTTTTTGGTTGTTATTGTTTAGGTTCTGTTGGTGGTAAGTTGCAGCACTTCAGTGGGATTTAGAAGAAAAAGATGCTATCACTGAGTTTTTAAAATATTTTGGCAGTGCATTCGAGAATGAGATTTCCAAATTTTGTTCATTTTGGCAACAGCAAATTCTGTTTATTGAATCTTGTCCAGTCTGGGTTTGGCTTATTGGATTTTTCAAGCTCATCAAAAGTCCCATTCTGAGGATTTTCCAGCAGACCTTTAAAAGATGACATAAAGTATAAGTTTGCTAGCTAGAAGAATAGAAGAACAAATACAAAACATGAGTTTGCAGTAACATTGATAAAGTGTAATTCCACTCCATATCTTGTCCTTTATATGACTTCCATACAGACCTGTGGTTGTATATTATTACAGGTTTTGTAGCTTAAATGGAAAAAAAAAAACCGATATAGATCTTTGTGTAGCATTTTTAGAGCCAAAGAACATGTCTAGACATTTCGATTATTGTTATAAAAGAGGTAAGGCAGCATCTCTTGTTTGATGTTTCTGGGTGATTTTAACCAGTTGACCCACATTTTTTTTTCATTGCCACACAATTTGTGAAGACCCCAGGGCAGTGTTTTTATCCTATCTAAAAAACTGTGAACTTGTCCTGATTTCAGATTTGTAATGGATGTTTTGAAGTTAGGATTTTAATATCTCTTTGCTGAATGACTCACTTCTTGAATGTGAATTAGATTTGGTCCCATGTTTATCAAGGAAGTGTCCTTTAAAGAAAATTTCTCCCCAGCCAACCGTTTCAACCTAGTTATTCAAAGGCATGCTGTCCTATGGCTGGTAAATGTAAAAATGAATTGCCTCATATTCGTGTCATGCGGTTATTTCATAGGCTGTTCAAGAAGCAGGTTAAAAGTGCCAGAGGAACACGTGAATATATTTCTGGACAATAAATTCTACATGTTGGGAGTGGGGTGAAAGTGCTGAGAATTTCTGTATTGTTCTCAGTTAATTCAGTGATGGTGAACACTTTTAATCCCCTTTTGTTTTGATTCTTGGGATGAGCACAGTGATCACAGCATGAGGAATGAATGAATAAACAGGTCAGAGGCACCTCACTGGACACAGCTCAAGTGTTAGCAATATGCTTCCTGATGAGCACAGTTTCCCCCCTTGAGCTCCTTTTTTTGCACACATCAGTATAATACTTTCCGGAACACGTTACCTAAAAATGAAGGTCTTGTCCACAGGGGAAAAAAAGGGCAGCTCCTAGCTACCTGGCCTTAGCATGTGCTCCTACGTACACCTCTGCACAGAGCCCGGGCATTCAGACCAGACGTGTCTATTGCTCCCTGGAAAGCTCATTCTCCTAGTCATTGAGATTTCTGCCAGTGGCATGGAAGCTAGTCCTTTCAGGCCACCTCCTTGTTCTCTAAGCATTTAGTCCCTCGTTACCCCCAGACCGAGCAGAGAACAGAGGCCCGCGACTGCTTGCGGGATGAAAGAGAGAGGGGAGCAGATCTTCCGCCCTTCCGCGAAACATCCTATTAGCAGCTGTAGTCATCCCGGGAATGTGTAGATGCCTCTCAGCAAAGCTTTTGCCTTTCAGAAACTCAAATGGCAAAGCTTTCATTTTGGTTAGAGTTTATAATATTTCACTTGGCCTCTCAAGTGGCTGTCCCCAGCATCACCCAAAGGAATGGAGTGGAGGCAGCTCATGGAATTTTGCTTCCTAATGTTATCTTGCACCATGATTAACCCCCATAACTTGTCTTCTCTGTTGTTTTTCTTTGTTCCTGCAGGTGATTCCAGATATTGCCTGTGGGAATGCCAGTTCTAACAGCTCTGCGGGTGGCCGTCTGGTGTCCTTCGAAGTGCCACAGAACACTTCAGTCAAGTAAGAATAAACTCCCAGTTAAAAATGATTATGTTTGTGACTGTCTGCTGGGTGGTGTCTGTTCACATAACTGGTCCATAACTGGTCAGTCCATTGAGAATCATGAATGGTTCCATGTGTAGATGTGGCCTCTGTCACTCAAAAACTAGAGGGAGCGATTTCAGAGGAGATTCCAGGGAGGCTGGATTGGATGAGGTAGGTGGGAGATAAGAAACCCAGGTGCCTTAGCTAAGATCTAGAGCCAGACCCTTCTCCTCTCAAATGACTTTTGCTCCCCAAATTCTTTGGCTTCTTCTGATTTTAGTGGACCATTAGTTAAATTCGTATGCATAATTTACCCCAAATTTAAGACCCAAACATTACAATTGTCTCTTTAAAAACAAGCAGGTGAGATGAGTGTTTTGTTGTGTTTTAAATTTAAGCTCCTTCAAATTACACACGGCTGGTTGTCACTGGTGGGGATGGAGAGGAGGCAAAGGGAAGCAGTGATGACAGCCCCCAGCAGGGCGCCAGGTGCTCTGCTTTGCTGGCGAGTCACGCTGCCTGGAGCACTGCCCCCCCCCCCCCCCCCCCCACCTCGGCCCCATAACCAGCCACAAGAATCATTCTAAACCGGCTGAAGGTCAATGGTAAAAGCCCTAGTCCTCCCCACGGCCCACGAGGCCCTGTGCCACCTGCCCTGTCCCCTCCCTGTCCTCCCCTCCTCCCTCTCTCCCCCTTGCTCACTCTGCTCCAGCCACACGGGCCTCCTGGCTGTCCCTCCAACACGCCAGGCCCAGCCCTGCCCTGCCGCAGGGCCTTTGCACGGGCTGACCCTCGGCCTGGAGCACCGTGTTGTGGCTGCTTCTGCCCGTGCGCCACAACTACTGAGCCTGCGCTCTAGAGCCCGTGCGCCACAACTACTGAAGCCTGCGTGCCTAGAGCCCGTGCTCCGCAACAAGAGAAGCCACCACAGTGAGGAGCCCACGCACCGCAACGAAGAGTAGCCCCCCCCCCCCCCCCCCCCCCGCACCTGTTTGACAACTCCCACCGCCTGTCCTCTCTGTTGGTATTAACTGGCACTCCCCATCCTACCCCTCATGCCCTGAAATGGACATTTGCTCTCTAGCCTTCAGGGACTTCAGAAGACAGGGGGACATATGGCCCCCGTCCTGGTTAACCAGTGTGCTGCATCGCTCCATTTTAAGAGGGCAGTGGGTACTGGAGACCCACTCTTCACTTACACAGGGTCATTTTTTCCCACCTTCCCTTCTAAACAACAGAGTCCCTGGAAGAGGGGCTTTGTTCCACTGCCCCTGCATGCCCTACCCCCTGCCTTGAAATCTTCTGATAGGAAAAGCCAGGATGGGCAGTGAACTCCGGGCACAGGGAAGAAATCCCTGTAGGGAGAAGGGTGTGGCATCTGAGGCAGCTCTGAGTTCTGCCAGTAGGGGGACCCCTGTCCTAAGTGTTCCGTTGCTCGTGCCAAAGATGAAACTCCACCGTCCAGAGCCGGTTTCAGGGAAATCAGGATCATTTAGTTGTCTTTATATTTATGAAACCAGTTTTTTCTTGTCTAGGTCATATTGTTTTACTTTCATAAGCCTTCCTGAATAGTTCTGATCTATCCTTTTAAATACCTTCTTTCTTCCCCCGCCCCCC